CCTCATGAACCCTTGATAATTTATAAATTATTATTATTTTGTCATATCTTACACTGTCCAATGTCTCCCTTCACCCACTTTTCTGATGAGACATGCCATTAACATCATTCAATGGCCACTATATGCATGATGTTGAAAAAAATAGATATTTCAAATGAATAAATCGTTGGTCTTGTAAAATTCTATCATGAGATGAGATTTCTACCTCATTTCTAGGACCAATGAACTACTGTTCTTTCTTTTTGGTTTCCAACTTTCACCTGTCAATCACCAGAAAATATCAATGCATCTTGATGGCATGTCTCATCAATTTCACACTACAGAAGTTGGTAAAACCTTTGGCATTAGTTGTTGGTGCATACATTTTATTAACAGTCATATTATCTTGTTTCTTTTGTAGAAATTGCATAGCATCATCTCACTGATAGTGTTATACTTCAGGATAAATATTAAAATGTTCTTTTTGATGTTCATTATGATGCTATTCTTATTTGGTTTGTCATTCCAGCCCTAATAGACAGTATGATTATCTGATTCAAAATGGCCAATACCAGTATTTTCCAGCTCATTAATGTCCTGTATATGTATCTTCAAACGTTCCATTTCGTTTTTGACAATGTTCCTAGATTCATACTGTGGTAATTATACAATCGTTTGTCAATTTGAGGATTAAGAGTGAAGGGATGGGGTCTAGTCTGTCAATGGGGACATAGCCAATGAGGCCTCTATGTGTGCATGGCCGTCTTCTGAGAATTCTGGGAACTCCTGTATTTTTTCCTCCTTGGAGGTGGAAGACATTTTTCTCTCTCTGTTCACTCCCTTGGAGACACTCTACTGACAAGGCAGACTTCCAGCGAGACATCTCGGAGAAGCCACATGGTCTTACCCTGATGCAGCCCTGGGAACTGGAGAAGCTACATGGAGAGCCCTGTCAGTGCTGAGATTCTTACAATGCCACTGGATGCAAAGACTTTGTACCACTGGCCTGTGATTGCCCTGCATTTGGAGTCTTTGCATGTGTTTCTTGAGTCCGGAGAGGACTTTATAGATTGTTATAGAACGTATGGGCTAATGTCAGACTTTTTACATTCCACATTTCCATTACTAATGGATATACACAGCTGTTTCTCTTCATTTTGAGTCATGCCCCCACAGCAAATGAAGGCCCTTAACTCTTTATTCTAGCCAGGTGGACTTTAAGGAGGCATCAAATACTCTACTAGTATTTGATCTACCTACTGGTGTTTGAACTACAAATGTTCTAACTTTCAGCATCATACAGGGAACCACAGTATGACCACCTGGGCAGCTGATTAGTCTCATACCTCCTGCCCTCAAGTTGATGCCGAATCACAGTGACCCTGTAGGGCAGGGTAGAACTGCCCCGTGAGTGTCCAAGACTGTCACTGCTTACAGGAGTAGAAAGCTCATCTTTCTCTTGAGGAACCCCTGGTGCTTTCACACTTCAGACTTTGCGGATCGTAGCCCAATACATAAGCACTCTGCCAACTGTGGCATTAAACACTGGTGAGTTAGTTAGTTGTGCCAGCCTGGCCGATAATCACATGTGGGGCTAATTGAAAGGCGGAGGGATAAATGGGTGGTGAGACTCGCCTTTCTAGTTTTTGGGTTTTTTTGTTTTTTGTTGTTGTCCCCGGGTGTAGCTGCCTTAGCAGTTCCCTGCTTCAGCTTGCAAGATTGACTTCCTACAAGACATCCCCAAGGAGAAGCTACATGGACCTATCCCGATGCAGCCCTGGGTGCTGGAGCAGCCATGTGGACACCCATGCTAGTGCTGAGATGTTTATCCGTTCACTGACTCAGCTTTCCTCCTGCAGTCATTGCCTCTGTTTTGTGAGGTGGAGGACTTTGTGGACTGGTGTTGGGTTAATGGGTTAATGTTGGACTTGTGGGCTTGGGCAGCATTGGGTTGAGATTTTTTTATGATGCACACTTTCTTTACATAAAACTCTCTTATACATGAGTTGCTGTGGATTTGTTTCTCCAAAGTACCCAGACTAATACAACTGGTTAATGACCACAAGATTGGCCTTCAGAGGTAGCCAGTTTTGACCCTCCAGAGTTCCTTTCCAAGTCCCTAACCAGCTCTGACCACACAGAACTCATGACAAAATTCACAATTATGGGGCTACTACTGAGGAGAAAGATGAGGCATTCGGATCCTATAAACATTTATAACCTTGGAAATCCTTGGGGGCATTTCTATAGGGTCACTTCTGAATTAGAATTATTTCAATGGTAGAGTTTGGTTTGGGTTTTTATACGTAAAATACGTTCTATATAACAATAAATAAATAAACAAACAATGCAAAATAACTAGCCTGACAAGAAATAACTGCAAACTCTGCTTCTTATGGATATTTTTTAAAGTAAGAAGTATCACCATATAACCAAATACACTATAATCCTCTGAATTTACAAGTTACACCATAACCACACCCAATATACTGTGCTTTTGAAAGTTATTTTAAACCTTTTAGATTGAACTTTTCAATAATTCATACGTATGTAGAAACAAAGTGCTGTAAATTCCTGCTTTCTAAATAATTGTTTTTATTATTTCAAGATAAATTTAGATAGTATGCAGAAAAATCAATATCTTTGTAGATACTATTCCCTCATATCTAATATTATCTTATAGAATTACCAAAAGGATTACAAAAAGTTTGAAACTGTAGCTTACCCTACACAATCAACCTCTTTAGGGTAATTTAGGGAGCGAAGTACTTGTTCTAGGTTCCGTAAGCTTCTTTTTAAGTCACCTGTTGCCATGATTTAACATTGGATCAACCTCCAGCTCTTGAAAAGAATGGATTTTACCTAAAAATAAAAAGTCCACAAACACTGATTTTAAGTCTATTTTCCTTCAAGCTTCTCTACTGCTTGTATCTCTGAAACTCATAAATTGCCGTGAAAGAGTAAACTGCAGAATTACTGTAGAAAACTGATATTACCTACTAAAGATGACAGACAAAAAGCTTGTGAAAAAAAATGAACACGATTCCTATAGTATACATCTTATGGATTAAATTATGTACTCCAAAAATACGTTATAAATCCTAACCACTGAACCCGTCTTTATAACCTCGTTTAGGAATGGATTTTCTCTATGTTAATGAGACAGTTTTGTAGACATAAAAGAGCATATCAGGCAATACTACATGAAGAGCAACAAGAAGGAATAAAAACACTACTTATCATACAGAGTCAATGGTGACTCCTGGTGACCCCTGAGGGTTCCGAGGCTGTGAATTTATGGGAGTGAAGAGCCAGTCTTTCTCCTCAGGAGCCGCTGGGGTTCGGGACTGTAGGCCACCGTGTAACCATGCCACCAGAGCCCCTCTAAAAACTTAGATGCTGTCTCATTAATAAAAATCGTCCAGAATAAACACATGTATTTAATTTTTCTTAAAAAGGAAAAGCTGAAGAGACAAAATCTTCCCTCCAGAGTACACAGCCATTACCTAGAAATGGCACCAAACATTTGGACCTCTGGCTTCCTAAACTATGTGAAAATAAATCTGCTTGCTAAGGCCACTTACTTGTGGTACTTCTGTCATAGTAGCAATAAATAACTATGACATACAACAGAAATACACATATATGTACACCAAAAGACATAAAATATTTGGGATATTAAAATAAAATGCTGAGTTTTTTAAAATCCCATAGAGAACAATGTCATGGAGTTATATTTAAGTGCTCTACATGACTGAATGTAGTCGGGCTTCCATATAGAGTCCTTGGGAAGTCTACAGGGTTATGGGCTTGACAACTAACCAAAAGGTTGGCAATCCAACACCCCCAGAGGGACCTTGGCAAACCATGCTGGCAATCTGCTCGCACACGGTCACAGCCTGGAGGACCCGGAGGGGCAATTACGCTGTGCACATGTGGGGTCAGCATGAGTCAAACTGACGCAACGGCACCTAACAGCAGAAGTTTCACAGGACTCTCAAAGGAGGTTATTCTCAAACACTAAGGGAAATTACTTAGTTTCATAGTTAAAAACCTTTGCTGGGCAAAAATTTGGGGGAACCGGATATCAAAAAAGAGTCTGATATCCAGGATATACAACTTAATTAAAAAGAAAAACAACCCAATTTTTTAAAAAGGGGCAAAGGTCCTGAATGGAGACCATGAAAAGACAATCACACGAAAAGAAAATCATAGTCATTAGCTATTAAAACCCCCAAACCAATCCACCGCCATCTAATGCATTCTGACTGTAACAGCTGCTACTCACAATGTTTTCAGTGGCTCGTGTTTCAGACCGCCTCTTCTTCCCCTAGTCTAGAAGCTCTGCTGAAGCCTGTCCTCCTTGGGTAACTCTGCGGAATGGTTGTAATACCAGTGGCATGGCTTTCCGCATCATGGAAACATACAAATCAAATTGTCACACTGGTGGTGGTTTATTAATCATTAGGAGATGCAAATCATAACCACCTCTCGGGCCACTGATAATACTAGCATTTTAAGAAGGAAAATAGCAAAGCTGCTGAGGATGTAGAAACATTAGAGCCCTCCTCCATGGCTGAAGGACATGCAGAATGGTACAGCTGCTACAGGAAACACTGTGGCATTTCCTCAAAAAGGTAAGCAGCGCTGCAGAGCCATCCGATTCAGGAACCCTCTCTTCTGTATACACCTAGAGCAGTGGTTCTCAGCCTTCCTAATGCCGCAAAAAAGGGTATGCAGCACTGCAGAGCCATCAGCCGATTCAGGAACTCCTCTCTTCTCTATACACCTAGAGCAGTGGGTGGTCTCAACCTTCCTAATGCCGTGACCCTTTAAAACATGTTGTGGTGACCCCCCCCAACCATAAAATTATTTTCGTTGCTACTTCATAACTGTAATTTTGCTACTGTTATAAATCGACTGACCCCAGTGAGAGGGTCGTTCAACCCCCAAGGGGCCGCGACCCACAGGTTGAGAACCACTGACCTAGGGACTTGAAAGCAACTATACATACAGATACAGGTACATCCCTGCTCACTGCAGCACTATTCACCATAGCCCAAAGGTAGAAATAACCCAAATGCCTGTCAACAAATGTCTGGATTTTTTAAAAATCCTAGGTACACACAATGTAGTCCTGCAACATGTATGAACCTTTGAAAACTTTGTACTGAGTGAAATGAGTCAATCACAAAAGGGCAAATGTTGCATAGTCTCACTTATAGGAAATACCTAGAAGTAAATGCATAGAGAACCGAGTTTAATATTAGCCACGAGGGGCAGGAGAGAAGAAGAGTGAAATCACTGTTTAGAGCCAGTGTGTCTGTTTTATGGTGAAGGAATACTTCGTAATGGATACAGTGATGCTTCCACACCAAAATTGATGTATTGGGTCTTACTGAATTATACACCTGAAAAAGGCTAAATTGGTCAATGTTGTTTTCTTTAGATTTTCACAATAATTAAAAAATAATAAGAATAGCCTTGGCTGGGCGAGATGAAAGGCTCTGAACTACAGGCATGGTCAACTCAAAAGCTCAACAACACACTCCAAAATATCTAACTGTGCACAGACATGCCATAGAAGGAAAATTCTGCAACAATACCTTGATTAATGAATCCTCTGGGAGTGAAGCTCCTTTAAAATGAAGTCATTGATATTAAAAAATAAAATAGAACAATTCATCAATCGGGTTACGTACAATCTCTCCCCCACAAACAAGCATTCAAGTAGTTGCCTGGAAAATAATCTTACACTTTCTCTATGTATAACCAATAGATAATAAGGCTAGCAGTTGGCAAAATCCTAAATTTAGTAAGCGCTCTATTTTAAGACTTCGCCTCCCATTTCTGTTTTCCCCAGGGTAGAGTGACTGCTTCGTCATTGAGTACTTTGCTGTAGCTGGTCTGTCTCCTTTATCAACATGGCAAATGTTAAATCACTGAACACACTTTTATATACTTATGCATAGGTTTTAGACATTCTTTTTCAACTGGTATCTTGACTAACAATTCATATTTTGTCAGTTTAATGTACTAATTTTAGGCAGAGGAATTTCAGTTACAGTGAAATGGAAGATAGCCAGAAAAAGAGGATTTGATCCAGAAATCACATTACAAAATGCTAGAAAATGTAAACCATCCTTAATATCTTTTGGAATGACTGGACGAGTTGTATTCAGGGGATAAGGAAGAAGACTTCTCAGGCCGGTTTTCACTTTCCTGGGAAAGAGGGAATAGGAATCTTCATGTAGCTGCAAGAAAACCTTCTCTTTGAGTGCTGTGTAGCTTCATTTAGGTTCCAGACCCACCTATCTTAACAGTGTTCTAAAGGTGCTTCCTGACCCTATGCCATTCTAAAATTTAATATAAAACTATCTCTCTACATAGACTTTCCTTAATTTTCCAAATGTATATTCCATAATCCCATATTATGTAATTTTGTTTTAATACACTACAGTATTTTTCCATTTCCCCCCTACTTTTGATTTTTTAAAGCACATTGCAGTGTCACTTATTATTATTTCTACCTCTGGTAATGGAATTTCTGACAACAATGTATGTCCCTGGAGCACATCCTCTTCATCAACAGCAGAATAAATATTTTGAAGAAGAGTAAGATACAAGTACAGCTTGGATCTGCAGGTGAAGGAGATAAGTGATACAGGAGAAGAAAAAAATATGAGGTAAAAATATGTACTATAGAGAAAAGAAAATCCCCTAAAACTAAGATAGAAAAAATACAGCTAGTGGTCTATACAATCAGGAAAAACCATCTAATCATAACACTCTAAAAAAACATTTTAACAAAGTAGGAGGTTAAAAAAAATTTTACTTTAAAATATTAACCTTTCTACTTTATAATGCTTATCAGTAAGATTAAAAGCAGAAAGGATACACTACCCTACATGTTTCACAGATTCAGCCAACAAATGCTCACAACTTTCCTCCCGAGGAGGGTTCTGACTACACAAGGCGCATCTGCCCAAGTGAACTCATTATTGGACAGGTACTGAACATTTCCAAATCTGCTTTTTAGGGGTCCTTAAAAGGGCAATTCCAAATGGACAGTCATTGGAATCAAAATTATTTTCTCTGAGTGAAGTAATTACACTGCAACCATTACACTACAGACGGTGCATTTGACTCAGCCCAAAAGACCTGATATCTTTTTAAAGTGTACATTAAATAAAGCAATAAAATGAGGGATATTTAGTTTTGAAGCTTCACAAAAGATATTTAGAAATACTGTTCTAAGGTATAGAGAGGTACGTATGAAAGATTGGAAAAACTGGAAAGAGACAGTAAGAGCTCAGTGGAACTGCTGTGTTCACTTCCAAAACTGTTCAGCATTTTTGTGAATATTTTTAGAAAAAGTCTCCCTCACTCACTAGGTGCATCATGTCCATGCCGATTCCTAGCCACCCTATAGGAGGACAGGGTAGACTTGCCCCTGAGGGGGTTCTGAGACTGTAAATCTTTACGGGCGTAGAAAGCCTTATCTTTCAGAAAAAGTCTATTATCGTAAGTCCAGAATTTTTCAAATAGTAAAAAAAAAAA